CAATTTGTTTTCATAATGTTTGTTAACTTGAAGAAAATGCTCAGAGAACTCCTGGCTGCAAACAAGTGACGCTTGAAGCTTCCCAACACTGTTGTCCCATAATTGCAGACTTGGAGTCACCCAGCACACTCGGCTTCTACCTATGTAACAGTGGCTGCAGTGAGTCAAAGATCCAAGTAAGTCGTGTCATACCAAAAGGTTCCTACTAGAAAGTAAAAGAAGTCTTGGGAAGAGATATTAAAACAAATGAAGCAAACATTTTAAAATAAAAAAAAATTCAACAACCCCCTCCCCAACCAAACAAAAAACCCAACAAACTAAAAAGCAAGCTTACAGTGAGATAATTTCCCCAGTATATTTATCTAACTTTCCAGTGTTGATAGCCTAGGACTTCCTAAGATATCTGTGACCTTGCATTTTATAACCCTTCTGTGAATCCACAGCCTGCAGCAATGAGTTCCGTAACTGAAGCTCATATCATGTGAAAGAGTATTTCCCTGTATTAGTTTAAAACTTCCTGCCAAATAATCAAGTAATTTTCATTTCCATTACTCATTACTAAGTCACAGCTAATGAGAAGTAAGTGTACTATACCTTTTTAGTCCCAGACACTCTGTTTTACACTTGTGTAGGTTCTATTGTGACCACTGTGAGATGAAGTAATCAAATGGAAAATACCTTTTCTATGTATAGATGCTGCATTGTTAATTCCATAGAATTATAGTGATAAAAGAATTTGCCTCTTGGACAACAAACACACAACTACAATAGTGAAATGCAGTACAGCAGCTACTGGTATGTTTTGGTTGACAAGGTAGAACTCAAATTGCATAGGTGAAGCCCCCAGTAGCCTAAGCCAGAACTTCACTGTGCTGGCTGCTATGCAAACACTGAACAAAAATCTCTTCCTCACTCAATTTAATAATATAATAAGAGGAAGACAGGTGAATTAAGACACATAAAAGGAAGGTGAAGGGGAGAAAATACACTTGGCACCAAAACATGTCCTCTACTGAAATGAGTGTTTTGTGATTTTCAAAACAAGACTTGCTATTTAATTAGCATTTGAAATTTACAGTTGGTTTTAAGAAAACTAAAATTTAGTGACTCTGGACTAAAACAAACAAGCTTAAAGTTGATGCAATATTAATAATCCAATCAGACATTTGTACCTGGGGGAGGAACAGAGCTCAAGGTCTTGCAAACTACAAACAAAGAGACGAGATAGCGCTGGAAAGACTATTTCTTTTTTTTTTTTTTTTTAGATATTGCATTTGCTCAACTTCTTAAACATAAATAACTGTGCCATCACTTCCCAGCATGCTTTTAACTTCCATTTGTGTTTCACACATTCCCCAGCACAACCTCACCCCTGCTGTCTCTCATTTGTGGCTCAGCAGAATGCAGCAGTATTTCTTTCACATTGCACAGTACCTGACTCTGTTAATGCTGGTAGCAAATCTCCTGCCTGATCCAAGCTGTGCTTAAAAAGAACCTCTTCTAAGATTACCACTGGTTCATCCTACACCTGTATTTTCTAAATATACAGCACTCATGCTGATTGTGCTTTCGCAGATTGCCTGAGAGCTGTACTCCAACAGTGAAGCAGCCAGATCTCGGAATTGTCCCAGAGGAACTATTTATCTTCCTCATGTTCTGACTGATAGCTATTCCCCGAGTATGAAGAAAATGATCTTTCACTGTTATTGCCAAAACACCATCCTTTCATCAGTGAAATCCAACAATATCAGCCAGAACTATAAGCTTAGGAAAAACAACATATCTTGAATACATGCCACAGAGTTGTCCCGAGGCAAACTATCCTCTATCAATGCCTTGCAGCCACACATTGCAGGATGCAATTCTTTAGTACAGAATGGCTGAATTCTGATTACCAGTCAGCTATCGCAAAGCCCAAACCTGGAGCCATAAGTTACTCCCAATGTCTCCACATGGCTCAATTTGTGCTGCTGTTTACTCCATGGCACATGGCTGTCAAGTGCAAAGGGCTAGTTCAGAACAAATGCTGATAAAAATTTGCTAATCTCATCCTATTCAGTATTATCATTAATGGCTGGGATGGTGGAATAGGTTGTACATTTCTTAAACTGACAACAGAGAACAGCCTGGAAGGTGTAATAGCATACTGGCTGATGGGAGCTAGAATTCACACTTACCTTAATGTTTTGAAATTAATAATGTGCATCTTCAATAATGCAAAGAGCAGTACTTTTGAATTTCAGCTGTGATAACCAAACTAGCAAGTAAGAAATTGTTTAGAAATTAGCTTCATGTTTCAGTTACTAAAACATAACATGTTAACCAACAAAAGGCAAAGCTGTGAAAAGAGAAAATTTTATACCAGCATTTTTAAATGGAAAGTTTCTACACTGCATGGAATCCCTCCTTTCCATCCAGCATCAGAAAGAATTTGTCTGTTATATTATATCCTGGGAATCACTCTTCAAGATAGATGAAGACCTCTTGGCAAGGGTTCAGAAGAGGATGGCAAGAACAATGAATGTTTGATGTAGAAAATATGGCCTGTTAAGAGAAATGGAAAGAATTGACCTGTATAACTAAGAGAAGATTGTGAGGGAAAAGTGATAAATACCTTTCTTTCAAAAGGAAGAGTAATAAGCAATTTTCAATATACAAGGGGATGGGAAAAGGAGCAACCAGTTTAAATTATGGCAAGATAACACAGACATGAGAAAGCAAAAAGTAAAGAAACTTCTAGTATCTGTAAGCACTAGAGAGGTCACAATTTCTCCAGTCATAGCTGATCCTTCCTTGATGCAGAAAGACTCAATGAGTCCTCACACCTTCTTTGAGGCCCTTCTTTTGCAGACCCCTCCACCTCCCTGCCCCCCCTTTGCTGAATCCAATGGGAGTACATGCTTTGAAGGAAGGAGCAAGACAGATGCTTGCATGTACAGTTAGTTACTAGCCTCTGCCATAAAACGGCAATGACAATACACTATAACAACCCAGACGGTGATCACTTCATTTTTTTCTCTGTTTCCCCTTTTTTTTTCTAATACTGTTTGTATGAATTAAGTAAAAGTAGTCACAGTCTGCTATATTACCAAATGCATTACTTCTTCTGTCTTAAAAATGGATAATATTTGAGATGTTTCTATCAAAAAAGAGAGCTAAGCAAAACATCAGAAGCATTAATGTTGAGAAAGCACTTACAGAGAGTCTCATGCAATGAAACAGGAGTTGGAAAGAAACACTTCAACATTTTCTGAAAAAAAATTGTCCAATGAAAGCTAAATATACACCAAATACCTACTTGTGTGTGCATGTATTTTCTCTCAGCAGCCGATAAGAATTCTTAGAAGACATTTTGCTGCAACCAGGCTATAAAGTATTAACTTTATCAGTAGCACATTATCTATTTGTTTTAGGAAATAGCTATGTAGTTATGCTGGTTGCAGCATTATTTTTTAATTTAGCACCATAAGAGAAGACCTGAACAGCACTGACTTCAAATAACAGTTTGAGTACAGAATTCATGGTATGTGTGAATACAAAAAATGGCAATCACCTCTGTCATCGTCTAGTTTTCCTAATCTTTAGTGCATTAAGTACCAGGGAACGTGTGGTTTAGATAACCAGATACATACTGCTAGGAGTGAGTGGACAGACCAAACTGCCTGTGATCAATTTACAGCCTCAAAGCTATTTGTGCAAGCCATTTGGGAAGGATGAACAAACACAAGATTGTTGGTCTTTGCCCCCTAGTGTTTGCTTAAGAATCAATGCAAAACAACCATAAAAGAAAGAAAATTTTAAAAATTAATTTCTTATGTAAAACACAATAGGACAACACAAGCCTTGTTCATCTAAAGTATTATATAAGCATAAAAACTCCTTGTAAGACAGCAACGCAGGGTTTTTTTAAAAACAAAAAAGAAAACAGTAAAAGGAATAATTTGCTGTATAGACAGCAACTAACTTACACTATGCTTCTTAATTCTATGCACATAGCAGTATAAAAGATAGACATAATTTGTTTTAAGAATTCAAGCAACTCAGGTTTGGGTTTTGTGAATTAGAGTGGTTGGTATTAATAGGACTCAATGGATCTGCAGCAGTTGGCAACTGCTCAGCAGAGCATTAGTTGTGGTTGAGTTACATACAGATGTTGAAAATCAGTTTATTGTTAAGCACTTCACTGCTTGAGTGAACACATGTATGGTGCAAAGTTTTCCCTAGCAGCAGTGACAGACAGAGCTGGGAATTCCAAGAAGCCGAATACAGAAATCTTGTCACACAGGAATAACTAAATGGAGTTCAGTGCTTTACCTTGCTTCTTGTAGCATTAACAACATAGCCAGAAAAGAGCAAACAACTAGACAGTGGGGCACCAAGGAGCCAAGCTAATACACCTCATAACCCAAGAACAGTGTAGGTGATCAAGTGGATTATTACTAACAGAGAGAATGAAATAAGCAGATCAGACAGGGAATGTGAAGTGGCATTTCTTTATTGTTTCCTAAAGCATTGATCAAGTGCATCCCAAGTCTGAATTTTCTAATACTTTTATTCTCTTTTACTAGATATTCAGTTCTTTTCTTGAAACAAATTTCAAACAAGATCTACTGTGCATCTAGCACAAAAGCAGTCTCTGTCCTTTTTCATAAGGAGTTGCTGGAATGATTGACTTTGCATGTATTTTCATGCTTGCCCACAGGTTTAGTTCTCAGGAATAACAGCTCTTTTTTGCCAAGTCCACAAGAACATGAAATCTGTAGCTGGTTATGAAGATAGCTATTCAAAGTGTGGTTGAACTGCATCCTGCTGCTGGTGGGAACTTTGTGGTAGGCATTTATTGCCCTCCAGAGCAGGAAGAGCTCCTTATCTACTTCAAGAGGAGCTATTCGGTTCTGAACAGCCCAGTATTTTAGTGAAGATAATTGGTCTTTCTAAAGCAAAAGGGAAAAATATGAAAGAAATTTGCAAAGTGATGCAATACACAAGACAAGCCTGCACTTGTACTATTATTAGCATATTATGTATTTGAAATGTATATAAATGTGTACATCTGATCCTGTAATAAAAATAATCTTTTCTTTACATTGCAGACCATGTTAATGAAAGGTAAAACATAGCAACCCTGGCTGGTAAATTGCCCAGTCTTATGTGTCATCCAGTATCACCTCCCATTTAATTTTCTATAAAAGCCATTACCTAGCAGTGATCACAGTGATAAGGCAACTTGTTATCCATTCCTTCCTTACTGAAATAAGCACGGCCACATGGACCAGCTTGGGAGATTCATTCAATCAGATGCTAAAGGTAAGTGACTAGGCACACTAGAGCGCTTTACCAAGACCTTTGCTATTTGTAGTCTTGTCCAAAAGTAGCAGTGGTGTACCTTTTCAAGATATGAAGAAGAAGGGAGAGATGAAAAAAGCTTGCCAAAAAAGATTTGTACACTTACCTAAGAAATGAAAAAAATCTTTAGCTATTGGTCCTTCATGTATTTAGAATAAAGCTAATTCAGTTTTAACTAAGCCATTGCTTCTCTTAATGATACCACACTAGAATGATTTTTAGATCAAGGCAAAGAGGAAATCAGATATCTACCTGATAGACTGACTAACCCTTGTACAGAAGCCACATACAACCTTCCTGAAATAACTCCTCTCAGGTAAGAACTCTGGCTGAAGATAAGTGACCTTTTAAAAAGCCATTCTTTTTTAATATATTAATTAATGAAAATCCAATCACAATTAAACATTGAGAATACAAAAATAAAAATGCTGTACCTTATTTCTACTAGAACTTAGCTTCCAGTTCTTCCCACTCAGTCCTGTCACATCTTTTTCCCCACTAGATCAAAGAGCCTATTCCCATTATCTATCAGTGACCTGTACAAGTAGTTATAGATGGTGACCAGTTGCTGGCTGACTGAAGTTTAAAAAAAACTTTAAATCCAATTTATATCTTTAAAATTAAAGATACTGTGAATTGCTGAGGGGTGAATTTCTCTATACCCATATAACTATGTGAATTTCTATTTCTATTTGAATTTCTATAAGCCTATAATAGTATGTCCCTGTATCCCTGGTTATACATGCAGGGAAGTAATGTTTTCTTTAACAGTATTGACTGGAAAATCAAGTTTTCTGACTAACCATGGTGGTTCTCAGGGTTTTTCCAGTAATCGGTGTTTCCTGAGGCAAAGTATCTGCAGCCCATCCTGAACAAATGAGCTACCTTACTAGTTCTTACATCCATGTTCTATATTTGGCTCCAAACTTGTGGTTTGCTCCTGGACCTGGATTCCTCTATTCCTCTCATTTGGTTACCTCCTTGCTTTTTTACTTATCCATACCATTTGAATCTTCTATAAATATTGGGTTTATCCATACATTTGACAATTATTTTTGCAGTACCTATATTAAATATACTTTCTATTGTTACTAAAAGAACCTTATTGTCTATGTGTCTAAGGTCTTGCAAGACTTTACTGTCTATCTAGCAGCAGCTTGGATATTCTAAACCACTTACAGCTAGTTCAGCTGTGTTAGTTACACAACCTTAGTCCAGACACACACTGCTTAAGTTTTGCACAGCATAGGATGTGATGACCCACCCTTAAGGGGAAGGAAAGGTTCATAATTTATAATCTCACACTCATCCATTATTGTGGTGTATTATTTTACTATTCACTAACAGACACCTGGAATAACCATTCTATTCTTAATTATATGTCACTGGAATGTACCTATTCCTCATAAATGGACCAAATCCCAAATAAATGGCTAGTCCCAATTTACACATTTGATACCATTTTCCAATCCACACTACGTGCGAAATTTCACACCAAAAGTCTACCATTTGACCCTACTTGGAGTAGTTAAAAATAATTTTTCTTTCCTTATTTTTTTTTAATTATAACATTTGCTAAAGAAATCTGAAAGCAGAATAAGGATCCTTTATGACACACAGCAGTGCTAATTCCTGTTGTGAAACTAATGAAAGCAGCAGTATGCCATTAGATAATCTTACGCATTAAAAGCAAAACTTTTGCAATCAGCTAAAACATCATTTTTACTTGCTACTACTTACTGTAGTAGCTATGCACAAGAGCTGAAATACAGTTTAGTTACATATTTGCATAGATTCAAAGTTACACTTCTTCTGATTAAGCTAACTAGTGTTTTATTTATGGCAATGGACTTTTATGTACGGATATTGTATCATGCTCTTACCTAGCACAGTGTATATAAGAGGAATAAACACAACACTGTCCCTGGAGAAAAGGGTCTGACTTGCCTGTGGTTTCTTGTTGGAGTCTACAGGCAGCAGATGCAGATATATGTTAGGAATGTACTTCCCTCTGCTCTTATTCAGGGAACACGCAAAGAGCTCGCCCCACTGCACATATCTGGTGAGAGAGAAGCCTAGAGCTAAACCAGAAATCCACTCCATTCCAGCACGATGTACAAACCAACACACAGCTGAATGGATTTGCAATAGGGTCCAACAGTCACTAGAGCTAGGAGAGAAACTTTTGAACAGTTTTCTAGCAGAAAACTGTTTGATGATGAAACTGGGTCACAGTTAATTATGTGATATTAATCAAAGTTCTTACACAGATCTTAAAAGAACAACATAAAGAAAATACTTTCCCTTCAGAAACATTTTGAAATCCAGCACTGTCTGGGATTTCATTATCACAGCTGTGGACCAAAGCAACACCCTTGAATATTGATGTGGTGACGATGTGGCTGATGTGGCTTTGGCAGATGACTTTTACATCCCTTTGTTCCTTTGCTCAGCTGTAATACCCTCAAGTAAATCAGTCTTATAAAGGATATAAGGATATAAGGATATCTTCCTAACCACACATACACACTATTAAACCTATTTTTTTGTTAAAAACAGAATTAGGGAAGCATTTAATTGTTGTTAAACACCGATCTAAATAATATATTTCCAGATGCTATTTATTATTGTCTCACAAACTTTCTTTGATTTACTGTTCTTATGGACAATGTCAAAATAAAGTAGTGGATAACAACCTGTAAATGAAGCCTTTTGCAAACAGACTGGTCCAATTATGATAAGATACAAGAAAGGTCTCATTAAGTTTCCCTCATTTGGATATTTTGGGAGAGAAAATGAAGTTTAAATCCATGTCCAAAAGATTATTCAGCATCAAACATAAGAAAATTACTGCAGTTCCAGGTATTGATTACATTCATTATTGTTATAGCTCCTAAACTTAGATTTAAAACAGTTTGGTTTGTTCGGGGTTTTATTTTAACATCATTTTGTAGGAAACTTGGGATAAATCAAAACTAAACCCATTCCTGTTTCAAAGTTATGGAATCAGACAAGTATGAACCTAAGAAAATGAGATTAGTTATTCTTCTGAACCTGTACCCTTCCAAGGCTTATCCGAAAACTTTTAATAGTGAAAAAGTGAAATTCCCTTTCAGATCATTCCACGTAATTCCTTTTTTTACCTTATTTCTCAGATCACGTGTGAAGGACCAGTCCTTTAGTGGGTGGTTACTGTAAAAGTCAGATGCTTAATTTTCACAGTAAGTTCACAGCAACCCACGGGTTTAGATCACTGAGGTATGCCAAAATCCAATCTTCTTCCAAGAAATGGAACTACTCCTTTATTTTAAAGTGCTTAAACATTTGTGTGCTTGAAATATTGCAAGATATTGTCTGTACTCGGGGTAGTACTGAGCTCATGTCTTAGCACACAACTCTTCCATCCTTGCAAGCAAGTAAAGAGAGAATTTATAATTAAAGGGAAATTTTACATCTGCTTTTCCTTTCTTAAGTGATGGTTAAATGCTAATTTTAGAAAAGTGTTTTCACTTTGTTCCATATTCAGGAATATTGGAAAAGATACGGTTGTGTTTAATAAAGAAGCTGATGCCACATTTCGAAGACAGAAGGAAGTATCATGACGAGTTTGCCTCATCCACTTCTTTTCATGGCCTGCAAAATATTGTTAAAACACGGAGCAAGACTCGCAAAGTGCTCTGGCTGCTTGTACTTGCAGGCTGTCTTGCTGTTGTTATTTGGCAAATCTGCAGTCGCTTCATCTACTACTTCAGCTGGCCAACCACAACTACAATGGTGGTTCAGTATGTGGAAGAAATCCAATTTCCTGCTGTGACATTTTGCAACTTAAACAGGTAAAAGTTGTGTTTGTTGTTTGCTCTTGAGAGGTAACACATCTTTATCTGAAAGCAGTCAGATTGCACAACTCACTTGGACAAATCACATAAAATAAGGAAAATATGGCTGAGGGGCACATCTTCCACACCAACACAGGAGATTTAAATGAAGATGAAAATACAAGACTTGATTAAGGAAGATTTTTTTTTATAATCTTCCCCTTTCTTCAGATGAAGAACTGCATGAGAGAATTTTAAGTTTCAAAACAGAAGTCGGAGTAGAAAAATCCCTCTGGTGGGGGTGTTCTATGTATGAGTGTTACTTCTACA